AGGTTAAAACTATGACATTTCCTTTTTCTGATTTTTATTTTACATTCACGGAGTACATGTATGGGTTGGAGTATACTGTGTGATGCTGAAATTTGGTGTACGGATAATCCCATCACCCTGATATTAAGCATAGTAACCAAGAGCTGGTTTTAAACCCCTTGTTTAAATATTAAGCATAGTAACCAAGAGCTAGTTTTAAACCCCTTGTTCCCAACCCTAGTAGTTCCCAGTTTCTCTTGTTGCTACCTATCATGTCTATGAGTACTCATTGTTTCGCTTCTACGTATACATGAGAAAATGCAGTATTTGGTTTTCTGTTCCTGCATTAATTCACTTAGCATCATGACCTCCAGCTGCATACATATTACTGCAAAGAACATTATTTCATTCTTTTTATGGTTGCATACAATTCCACGGTGTATATGTACCACATTTGCTTTATCTAGTCCACCACTTATGGGCAGCTAGGTTGATTTCATGTCTTTGCTACAGTAAACAGTGCTGTGATGAACGCAGGAGTGCATGAGTCTTTTGGGTTGAATGATTTGTTTTCTTTTGGGTATGTATGTAAATTAGTTCAGTTATTGTGGAAAGCAGTCTGGATCATTCAACTGAGAAATTCTATTACCGGATATTTCACATTTCTTTATTGAATTCTTCATCATTAAAGAAACAAGTAATGGTTAGTGTCTAATATTTAAGTCCTATAAAGATAGCGTATGTTTTGAAGAAACTATGTTTTCTCCAGAATCTAGTTGAGAACTGTCAAATATTTGTAGGCGTGTATATGTGTATATTTGTTTTTTATTGTCTCAGATGACTTAAACTTATATGCCTTTTTCTATGTTAGTTCACACGTGACTTTTTTAGCAAAAAAATTAAATGTATTTAAATTATTCATGCCTTTCAAGTATTTTAAGACATCATATTAACTTTTTAAATGGTATGCTAAACACTTTTTGCAAGCTTGCTATAATATGTACATTCTTCTATGCATAAAACTTGAAAATTGAGGAACATCTAGATACAATGCCTTGCCAGAATTATAAGAAATTTATTTATTAAGAATTTCTTTGAAGAACCACTTTAGATGAATGTAGTCTCTGTAATAATGAAAATGCTCTCAGTCTGCTCTATGCAAATAGGGAGCTGCTAGCCACATGCAGCTATTGAACACTTGAAATGTAGCTAGTATAAATAAGAAACTAAATTTTATTTTATTTAATTTTTATTCATTTAAATTTAAATAGCCATGTGTGGCTACTCATTATCATTTTTAACAGTGCAGCTTTAGATTTAGAAAACATCAAGTATTATGAAGGCCAAAATACCTACCTGACGACACCACTGAGAAGACTAAATGAGCCAACATTGTAAATATGCGTAGACAGTGCCGGGCATGCACTAGAACTTGTACATAAGCAACTTTTCTCCCTTTCTTCCCATAGCTCAAAATATACCCATTATTTCTGCTCTTAGGGATGTGCGACTCTTTGTACTACTTTTTATAGGCTTTTTTCCATTCCCTTGTTATGTTCTCCTTTTAGAACTCTCTCTCTCCTTGTCGTCACTCTCTTTCTTTGTTTTACTGAATAATCCATCCACTGTACTGTATTTTCTTACTTTCGTTTCTATTTTTCAACTCTTTCATTTTCTCTGTTCATGATGGGAGAGGCTACTCAGCAATTACTCCTCTTTCCCAGAATGCTCTATCTTGAGTGTCAGTATGACTTGGGGATGAATTTGCTTGAATAGAATTTGGCACTGAATGGAGAGAGAATAAATTTGCCCTGAAAACTTGTAAGTATAACCTGGGTCTGCAAAAACCCTTCAAAATGAGAATCAAATTTAAAGTGACATTATGTTGATAATGCTCTTTGTCTTAGTCTTCTAAGTCTTCCATAACAAAATATCATCAGTTGGGTAGCTTAAACAAAAATAATTTTTGTTTCTTTTCTAAAGACTACACAATGTAAAATCAGGGTTCTGGCACAGTCGTTTCCTGATAAAGTTTCTCTTCCTGGCTTTTAGACAGTTGTCTTCTTGCTTTATCCTCAAAATGGTTCTTCCTCTGTATGCCGGAGAGAAGGCAGACAGAGACATTTCTCTTTCTTTCTCTTTTTATAAGGCACTGATCCTATTGGATCAGGTTTCCATACTTATGATCTCATTTAACCTTAATTATTTCCCTAAATCCTTATCTCCAAATATAGTCACACTGGGGATTAGGGTTTTAACATATGAATGTGAGGAAGACACAATTCGGTAGCACCCCCTAAGTGCAGATACCTATCCTGTCTTGAAGAGTGTACCTTTAACAATAGCCTTTAAAGACTTCTGAATTGAAGGTCTAAGAAACATGAGCCTAGAGTTGAAAATTACAGACACTCAAGCACAAATCCACAAGCTCTAATATGAGTGTGAGCAGAAAACAAGAGAAAAGAAACAGTAGACTGAGACTCAAAAATACTTAAGATGTTGACATTATTAGGCACAGAATACTGAATAGCAATAACATATTATAAAGATAGAGAGCATAAATTATGGATAAATAAGAATGGATTTTCTAAAAGACCAACATACTTGGAAAGAATCAAATCAAACACTATAAATAAAAATAATAAGTGAAATTTAAAAATAGACAAAGAACGGATTGAATGCAGCTCAAAAAGTTAGTGAACTGGAGTATCAAACCAAATATCCAAATTGCAGTACAGAGAAAAAAAAATGTAAATGATAAAAGAGTTGTTAATTAAAACTAAGAATAACATGAACATGTCTAACATATACCAATCTATCTTGAGTTCTAGAAGGAAATAACAAAGAGAAAGGAAATCTAGCAATACTTGAAGAGATAATGTTTGACAACTTCAAGAACTGTTGAAATACCAAGTCCATATCAAGAAGCCCGAAAAATCTCACATGGAATAAACACAAACACACACACACACACACACACACACACCCCATATTACACTGAGAGTATGTAATACCAAAGACAGAAAAATCTTTAAAAGTATCCACAGAGAAAAGACAGATCACTTAGAAAGGACTACCAACTTCTTGATAGCAAGAACAAAATCCTGAGAGCAATATAAATATATATTCAAAATATCAGGAGAAAAAAAAAAACCCATATAACTCAGCAAATGTGAAATGCAGCTCAAGAATAAAATGAAATAAAAAGAAAGAGGAAAAAAAAGACTCGAAATTTACCAGACTTTATTACCTACAGACCATTTTGATAAAAAATTTTAAGGTATGTCTCTGGTTGTTGAAAATTAATTCTAAGTAGAAAGTTTGAGATATAAGAAATTAATAAAAATTAAAATAATGATATCGATACTTATTTTGGGTGTCAAGAATATGTAGATCCCACATATTAAACAAAGCTGGCATATGAATTGTAAGATGCAGTCAGATCTAAAGCACTCATATATAATTCAGGATGAGGTAAGTATATTGATATACTGCATATATTATTAAGCATGCAAGTTAAAAGCTATATAATTACTATAAATAAGCCTAATGAATATAATTTCCAAAGTAGTGAAAGGAAAACATTAGAATAAGAGCCACTGCACTCCAGCCTGGGTGATAGACCGAGCCTCCAACTTAAAAAAAAAAAAAAAAGTTTCAATTTTCTAGAATTATGAATAGAAAAATGATGGGGAGAAGTCCAAAATATCATCATTGATATGAATTCATTATATTCATCAGTTAAAAAAGAAAAAATGCCAGATTGAATGAAAAAATAAATACAGTGTTGTGCTTTTTTAAGTATGTAAAGAAAAAACTACTCCTTTATTCTTCCTCTGCTCCTGAAAAAAAAAAAAAAAAAAATCAAACTGATGTATCTATAATAATAACACATGAATTAGACATTATGCCAAAATTAATTGCTAGAGAGCAAGCCTGCCTACATACTGATAAAAATTTCAATTCTCTACCAAATAGGGTGGTGGCGCATGCCTGTAATCCCAACTTCTTGGGAGGCTGAGGCAGGAGAATTGCTTGAACCTGTGAGGCAGAGGTTGCAGTTAGCCATGATGGCGTCACTGCACTCCAGCCTGGGTGACAGAGCAAGGCTCTGTCTCAAAAAAAAAGTTTTAGTTTTCTAGACGTATATGATAATTACATATTTACATATTCATATACAATTGACCCTTGAACAACACAAGTTGGAACTTCTGGATTCACTTAAATGCAGATTTTCTTCTGCTTCTGCCCCCTCTTGAGACAGCAAAATTAGCACCTCTTCCCGATCCTCTTCCTCCGCCTGCTCAATGTGAAGATGAGGATAAAGGATAAAGACATTTATGATGAGAGCCACTTCCATTTAATGAGTAGTAAATGTATTTCCTCTTTCTTGGGATTTTCTTAATAACATTTTATTTTCTCTAGCTTACTTTATTGTAAGATACCATATATAAAACATATAATGTGAATAATATGTGTTAGTCAACTGTTTATATTACTTGTAAGGTTTCCAGTCAACAGTAGGCTATTGTTAAATTTTGGGGGAGTCAAAAATTATACATAAATTTTAACTGCATGGTGGGCGGTCAGTGCCTCAACTGTCACATTGTTCAAAGGTCAATGGTACATTAAATAACTTTCAAAATTAGACATTATTACAGGAAGTAATTTATAAATCCCCATCATAATGGAAAATGTTTAACATATTTCTGCCAGGAAATAACAGTTCAGGAGAAAAAAATAAATTTACAAAAATATGAACACTGTAACAAAATTGCATTTCCATGCAAGTAAAAATTATTTAGAAAATATCTTTAAGATGCCTGGGAATTAATCCAACCAGTGATATGCTGCATCTATGCAGCATGTTATAAATTTGTGCTGACAGACACTGAAAGAAGACTAAATGTGATTGGTTAGGATAAGTCAGTTTCACAAATTGACTTTTTAAGAATTTGATTTATAGGCACAATTCAATTCCAATCAACAGAGATTTTCCTTAAAAATGTTAAACTGAATCTCTTCTTACCTGGCAGGGGAGAAACTATGATCACAAAGGCGGTTTTCCCATGGCTAGGTTTATCTGTTGACCTGTGGGTGTGCTGAACCCTGAGATTTCCACAATTGTGGGAAACTCAACTGCATAATTTGTGGTAGTGGGGAACTGTGTTCACGCTTTCTCCTGATATTTTGTAGTGTCAAAAGTAGACTATACACAAAGGGCTACCCTCAGTTTCTGCAAGTTTGTAGCATGGAGGGCAAGGTAAGTATTCTTCTTACAGTCAAAATGTTGAAAAACAGAAAGTAACCTGTTACCATGCTTTCCCTGGTGCCCTCCTGCTCATCTTTCTAGTGATAAAAATTGTCAGTGCATACAGCCAACCTCTAAATAACTCTTCGTTACTCTTTGTGCAATGTACCATCCCAGACCTTGCAGTCCTGCCTGCAAGGGGAAATGGAGTTTGTGTGTTTCCCTACCTCCCAGTCCACTCCAAAGAGCCAACAAGGCGTCCTCCCAACACCTCCCATCTTCTCCAAACTAAGCTCCTCAAAGACTGTGGTGGTTTTCAGTCTTTCCCCACAAAAAAAGGTTAAACTGAATCTAAAATGTATGTAGAAGGAAAATTGATACAGATTGGAAATAGAACAAGATGGGAGGCATTATTACAAGTACCGATTTGTTCTATTTCTCAATTTTGGTGGGGGATCTTAAAATGTTTCTTTTATTATTTTTAATCCAAAAATATATTTATATGTATTTTATATTCGTGTGTTCTATTTCACAATGAAATTTTTTAAAAACCTCATGTAGGTCTGAGGCTCACATCTCTGCAGAATCAGCACATAAAAACCAGAATGTTTTTATAATTATATGTATAGAATGTGTACTAATAGTTGTTCACTGTTTAACAATAAAACACATTTTAACATAAGATGTAATACATGTTTAATGCAGAAAATTTGGAAAATGCAGGAAATAGGTAGAAATAAAGAAAGTTCCCTGTGACCCTCACCATCAATTTCAGCCCCTGTGACTGTTGTTACACAGTTTCTGGTCTTATCTATGCTCATATATGTGTGCTTGTGCATTTGTTTATAAGTTTTTACAGACTTACTGTCCTATTACTTAATGTTTGTGTTTGCCTTTTTATTTGCTAATACAAATGTATTATTTAATGTTAGGAAGTTTGCAAAACCATCAGATTTTTATTATGAAAAGGTACAGTTGAAAGTTATATACTTGTTCAAGTAATTCTTTCGGCAAATAGCAATATTTTAGAAAATAAAATGAGAATTCAGCTAAGAGGGATTATATTGACAGGAAAATATAGAGTATGTAGGGAACATATATATTTTCAGTAACCCTCAAAACAGGAGAAGGAAACACACTTCTCATACACTGATGTCAGTCTGAATCACAGTTCTTTGTTCCACATCTGCTACTCAGTTTATTGGTGATTAAAATGTAGTACAGATGGCTGTCCTTTAGCAGTTCCCTCACAGAGATAGTTCTCAACAGTTTGCATAAGTGACACATTTATTTCAAAAATTACTTAGAAAGAAAATTTAACATTGAACTTAATAGTATGGACCAAACACTTTTTACCCTCTTATTTCAATCTATCATGAAAATGAAATTTATCTTTGAAGCCAGGAAATATCCTGATTAGTGTTTCAAGGGAGAGTAAGGAAAATCTCTCACAATTTTGAGAAATCCTTCTTTTAAGGCCCTATCTTTTCTTTCCAGCATCAGAGAATTATAGGCCTTGGGCTGGATCCAGTTCCCAAGAAGTGATTTTATAAAAATCCACCAATGCTAGTAACGCTGAAACTTTTCTAAATTCTGTTTTCAGTAGGTAAAATATATTCCTGTTACTACCTAACTAGAGAGAATAGTAGGATGATATTTGCATTACCATGGCAACTTGCATCTCTAGAGTGAGATGACATTTTTGCCTGTTTATTTCTACTTTTCATTTAGGAATAACATTTTTTTATTCCATTTTAACTTGAAAAATAATTGGTTGGGTATATATAAAGAGAGAAACTGAAAGTTATTTAACATCTGCTATATGTCAGACACTGAGTTAAGTTCTTTATATCCACCACTGCATTCAGTCCTCCAAGGACTCTGGAAAGGAGGATTCACTTTAGAGAGGAGACAGAGAAATTTCAGTACTTTTCTGTGCTTATGGTCAACAGGTTACAAAGCAATAGAGCCAGGGTCTGTTCAGAGCTTGGTGCCCCTGGTTCCCAGGCCGGTGCTTTTTCACTGCTTCACACTTCCTCCAACAGGTTTTATTTCCTCTCTGGGTTCCTAGTCTAACTTTCCCTTAAAACTGACAACCAGCTTGTGCGATACCAGTAAGTACATTGCAATATGTAGTTTTTAAGTGCTGTGGTTCTTAATGTTTAATTCTAATTTCCATATATAGAAAATTACATCTAAATCAGGATTGACTGATTACGTTTTACTCTTCAGTTAAAATAGTTATTCAAATGTTTTAATTGCATACCATGTGCTTCAGAAGATGATACCAATTAAGTAGTTAGGATTTAGCTGTACATATGATGGAGATTTAGTTATGGCACTATAAAAGAATTATATATATATATATATATATATATATATAATTCAAATTTACAGATATAGAATATTAAATATGAATTGCAAATATTGGATTATGAAGATAAGCAAGTATTTGTTGAACATAAGGAGATATCTGCATAGATTCTATGTGGGATATGTTACTCAGAAAAAGCAACAGAACAAACATGAATTATATTTATAATCCATTGAAACAAAATTAAGATGACCAATTCTTCAATCTTAAATATTCTGTTTTTTAAAAAGTAGCTCTTATTTCCTTTATATTTTGCTATTGTGATTTTCTCTCAAAAGACTCTGAAACAAATGTAAAGAGAAATTTCCTTTGTGATAGACTTTATGAGACACTTAAATTGTTATGTCATAACGATACGTTGTTAATCTAAAGGCCTTGGTGGCAATTGCAGGAATTAAAAAGTAAAAATTATGTTCATTGATACATTTATGAACCATCAAGTGAAAGGAAGTATTTTTATATTATTTAATGGTGGCATTATGGCTTAAGCACCAGATCTATTTCTTTTTCCCTCTTGAGTCCAGCAAGAAAAGGTCCCAGAAACAGTTATTGTTTGAGCAGTTTGAAGGATCTTGGCACTTGAAGGAAAGACAATTCTAATAATGTAATAAGGGCAAAAGGTGGCTAGGAAGCTATTACGGACTAGTGGACTATGTGAGCAAAATACATGGAATACTTGCCCAAAGTTTAGAAATGATGAGAGAGAGAAGTAAGCAGGATACAATGAAGAGTCTTTGATGGACATGAAACATAGTTTGTTCATAAGTAATTAGAAGAAATCAGGGGAAGGAAATAAATTGAAGGTGTAATGTTAAGTTGGAAAAGTTATGTAAGCTCAAGGGAGGAAGGGAGAAATGCCTGGGTGAATATGTTTGATTTTGTAAACAAAGGGTGAACCGGTCGGAGTGGCTCATGACAGTAATTCCAGCACTTTGGGAGGCCAAGGTGGGTGGATCACTTGACGTCCAGAGTTCAAGACCAGCCTGGTCTTCACAACGAAACCCTGTCTCTACTAAAAATACAAATATTCGCTGGGCAGGGTGATGGGCACCTGTAGTCCCAGCTACTAGGGAGGCTGAGGCAGGAGAATCACTTGAACCCAGGAGGCAGAGGTTGTAGTGGCTAAGGTCACACCATTACACTCCAGCCTGAGCTACAAGAGTAAAAATTTGTCTCAAAAAAAAAGAAAAATGCAAAAAACAAAGGGCGGGTAGTTTCTTCAAAAGCCAGCGCCTCAACTCTCATTCTGCAGTCCCATAGTATCCACCCTTGATTTTGAATTGATATGATGCCCTATTCTTGCATAAAAACATTTCATTTTTGATTAGTAAATTATTTTGAAAAGTTGATATGAATATGTATAATATCCAGAGCACAAAACTACTAAAATGTTATGAGTCTCTTACATAATTACCTTTAAATGAAACTGTAGCCCTGAAAGAAATTTCACAGTCACATTCTTTTAGATTTTAGTAATACTATATGTGTGTAGCTTTTATATGGTCATGTTGTGATGAAAACTCCTATGTAATAGAATAAATGTAACAGATTGTAAAACTCCAAGGATGGCTATATATTCAAATACATATTATATATTTCAAATCAGTTGCAGCACACTTTCAGCTAGAAGAAAACACATTCTTATATACCTTAGTTCTGGTAATGAGTAAATGTGCTCTTACCATATAATTTTCTTTACTATGCCCTTGGAGCTCTTAAGGTGCTATGGGAGGCTATTCCAAACCCATTGTTGGAATTGCCTGCCATGCTAAACCAAAGTGGAGTCAATAAGTAATTTTATCACTCTTTTCTTCAAAAATATGTCAAAGACAACTGAAAACATGGTAAGTGCATTTATTGCTGGGAGGCATTTAATGAGAAGTTCTTTCTGACATAAATACTTGACCCTTAATTACATTTTTTGCATGCTAACAACACCTTCAACCAGGTCACCTTGAAGCTACAGGAATTCTGTTTTTATCCCTCATGCCACTGCTGAGAATGTAGCTCCATGTTTTTATTCCTGTACTTCTCAATGCACTTATGACTAAGAAGACACTACTCCACCTTCACCCCCAGACCCCAGCATTCTTGGTTTATTTTAAGTTCATCTGGGCTATTAAAGTGTGAAAGATCTATGCTCATACTGCAGATACAAGATCAAGATGCATTATTTTTCTGGACCTATTTTCTAAAAACTCTTCTTTCAACTGTTAGTTTCCAGGATAGGATGAATCTGATTTTACTGTGAAATGCAGGTAGCTTTTATTTCAGGCCTTTGCATCGCTTAAGAGACATTATTAGCACCTAATTGGAATTTGCATAGACACATGAAATATTCTGCCTTCTGAGACCTTATGGAAATCTGCCCTATTAATGACTACATCAGATAGGAGTTATAGATTTTTGTCATTTCAGCATTTTTCTTCTATCAAGTAGTTAGCTTCTGCCCACATAACTGAGTAGTGTAGAAGAGCCACTACCATTGGTCTTTTCTGGGCTAAGGACATTTGATTTCATATATAAGAACAAAAAAGGCTCATGTGACTTTTTTGGAAAG